ATGGTCAATGGCAACCGTCCTATTTTGATATGATGAGGATAATGCCTGGAATCGAGTTTAATGAAGGCATCCCCGACGATATCGACAATGCGGATTACTTGGACGTATCGCAACGGAATTTGATCGTATTGGACGACCTTATGGCTCAATCTGGCAAAGATAAACGTATTTCTGATCTTTTTACGAAAGGAAGTCATCATCGAAATTTGTCTATCATCTATATTGTCCAAAATATATTTCATCAGGGCAAAGAAATGAGAAATATTAGTCTAAACGCGCATTATATCGTATTGTTCAAGTCACCAAGAGATAAACAACAAATTTCTATGCTTGCAAGGCAAATAAATCCCGGAAAAGTACAAGAATTTATGAGGAGTTATGAAGATGCTACGAGCCGACCTCACGGGTATTTGATGTTGGATTTAAAGCCAACAACAGATGATCAACGACGACTCAAGACCAACATACTTCCCGGTGAGATTGAAAAGTTTATACAAAAACAGTCGTATCGACAACCACCACTTGTAAATGCCATGTATGATGCCGAGCAGCGAATGAAAGAAATCATGGATGCACCACAGCTTAGCGCAGTGGAAAAAGCAAATTATACTCTGATCAACTAAATCGGTTTCTCACATTCAAAAATAAGATGGATGTCCCAGCTCAAGCTCCTGTTCAGACAACTCCACTAGTGCCTGCAGAGATGCCACAACCCAATGAATCTGTCGAGATAGCACCACCAGTGCCTGCTACCCCTAAACCTAATTTCCTTACACCACCACCAACAGAAGAGGAACGGCCAAAACTCAAGCACAACTTTTTCCACAATTGGGTAGACTCTACAGATTGGAGGCCCCAAGATTTGGCAATGATGACCCCTGAACAAAGAGAAGGTTACGAACAAAGATTACTTCGCGAGAGGCCGAAATATATTCCAATGAAGGATGAAGACGTTGCAAAGTTATCCCCAGAAGATAGACAAGAATATGAGAACTCTTTAAAAATAACAAAAACACCTAGACGTTACGCTCTTAGAAGTAGACCGTACTAAATTTTGTAAAACGTTTTGAAGAAATAAATGTGTTTAAAAACTGAAATATTGTGTAATTTTTGCCGGCAAAGCCCGCTCTTTCCGCCCGCGCGATCCGCCCGCCTGATTAGTGTACAAATATGTTGTACGTTAATATATGCATGCACCCGCAAAGCCACGCGCCTGATTTTAAGGTATACACCTGCGTTAAAAATAATCCCTATCTATCCATCGGGATACACTTAGTTATGCAAATTCGTATTGCCTTAATCCCCTTAATTACCTACACGCCTCCTAATGACCTAGCAACACATAAACAACGCAAATTTGCAAAGTATAAAACATGTTTATTGATACAAATAACAGACGATAGTGTCAAAAATATTACAACTAAAACTATTTGTTAAACTGTTCTATAAGTTTTTTCTCCATGAGTTCTTGATAGCTTTCTTATGATCTGCCTCAAAACTTCTAAATCGTTCACCCGTCGCCTTCACATAATACATGTAACTCGGTGGGTAAGAGAAAAACGCTTCAGCTACGGACTCGAGTGGGTCTTCTAATCTCCAATGAAACAAATAGTTCAGTATACATTGTAGTTCGTGGTTCTCAGTGTTCTGATGTAGTTCCATCAATGAATCGACAAACGTAGAATCTGGATCTTTTTCCAGTTGCTGTAAATGTTCGAGTACATCTCTATCAACCGCCAGTTTTAGTACCCTCATTGCCTCAGCGAATTCATTCCAAACCATACGCTTACCATTCACTCGTTCGATCGCTTGTAAACCATACATTTGCCATCGTTCGTTTTCGTTCATCATGAGGCAGTCATGTTGTCTTTGACTAGGATGACCGACTTGACAACCATTACAGGATTCCACACAAAGTCTTTCAACTTCTTGTGCGACTGCATTCGCAAATATTCCTTCCAATAAGTTGTAAGATGTGGTTTTACCGTGTAGACACGCCATGACTGATGTGGAACAAATATAGACGATGTTTCTTACAGGACGCTTGCCGATTTTATACAGATACTTGTATAAAAGTTCATAGTAAGCCAACATTAATCCCTCAATTGTATCATAAACGTGGAGGGACGCTAAAAAATGCGTAGTCAGCAAGTTTTGTCCAATTTCGCCCGGACAGGCCCGCGTGACGTCACTACGCACCCTCACTTGTGCGGCCCCCTTAATTACCTGCATACGCCGCCCCCTTGCATAGTAATTACCTACATATATAATGTGCGGCCCCCTTAATTACCTGCATATATAATGATGCGGCCCCCTTGCGGCCCCCTGCGGCCCCCTGCAAAAGGGGGTTGAACGGTACCTATATTACTACTGTAGTTATTGATAATGATTCGAACAAGAATATTTCTATGAAGATACGGGGCCGAAGTTGTATCTTTGTTCAGATAATTTGATAATATACGATCTCGCTTGACTTTCAAAGGTCATAAACCGCTACAATGTTGATAATGACTTAAACTATTGTGAGGAATTAGTTGATTTTATTTCACTGAATCGAATGAAGCATGCACTGAACTAACCTAGCACTGAACCGAAGATATGAACTGAACATATATACAAAGTCGTCGAGAAAGAGTTCAGACAATTGTGTAATTTGATAACATGCGATCTCGCTTGACTTTCAAAGGCCATAAATCGCTACAATGTTGGTAATGACTAAAACTATTGTGCACTGAACCGAAGATATGAACATACAAAGTCGTCATCCTCTCGCGCAGTTATACGGCATTCTTCGTATTGCACTCCGCTCGTGTTATTGACAAAACCATTTTATTGAGTACTCGTGTTATTTACAAAACCATTTATGGACAACAGCGGAACTAACCGTAGATAACCGACTTTTGCCCTCCGCTCGCAATGCATTACATCGATACGTCATCAATATGTCATTTTGATGTGCTTTTCCCGACATATATACCTACCTCTGGTCCTGACAATGCTTCTACCGTGATTGAAAATCAGTAGATGCAAAAATGTATTTGGAATAGGTTTAACTTAAAGTACCTATGCGACAATTTTTTTATGATTGAATTGCAAAGTTCATTTAAAATCATAATATAACTAGTTTTCTAAAACTTTGTAATCTTTCCTGTATGTCAAGATTTTCGCCTTTTTTGATATACAAAACTTAAATGACGTCACACTGCATAATGCGTTTTACAGAAGACTGTTGTAGCGATTAAAATTCTCATTATCTCAAATTTACAGACGTAATGATCGCTTTGATAGCTCTTAAAGTATATCACTTTCAATGTCAGTGGATTATCACATGTTTGGCAAGGAAACGTTTTCTTTCTAAAAACTCATTATGCCGTGTGACGTCATTCAAGTCACATTTGTATATCAAACATTTGTATATCAAAGTCGAAAATCTTGACAAGAATACAAAGTTTCAGAAAACAAGTTATATTATGATTTTAAATGAACTTTTCAATTCAATCATAAAAAAAATTGTCGTATAGGCACTTTAATGTTTAAGTTCCCTGTTTAAGAAATAGAAAACATACGAATCTTCTCATTTCATGGGAATATCCTGAGTCTGCAATCACGGCTTAAATTTTTGAATTGCAGAATAATTAGATGCATTATCTAGTGTATATAAGATATCAATGCATGGTCCAAGCCAGTGAAGGCCCTAGTCCTTTTCAGAACTCTTGCACGGGTCTTCAAGAGGTTTGGCAGCTCTGGAAGTAGCGGGAACAGTCCGCTTTCATCGAGCAGTAGTCAGTATAGTCCAGTATGAGTAAACGATGTGGCGGCTTTACGTGTTGTGTTCCTGATTGTTTTTACCAACAATAAAATAAATCGTGAGTCTTCTTTTTATAGTTTTCCAAAGTGGATAAATGTAATTGCCTGCAAAGATTTCATACCAACAACAGACCATAGAGTTTGTTATATAGCTAGCGTGAACACCAAACGTGATTGGCTGATTTGTGGTCACGTGACTTCAGATAAATGCAATGTTTCCCGCCGGGCAACAAGTGAAAAATTGTTGCCCGCCCCGACCGGCCACGTACATAAATAAACAAAATGGAGGCACAACTCAGATAATTAGTAGAAACTACGATTTTCCAAGTTTGTGTTCAAATGAAGAATATAAAAAAGAAGAAAAATACACAACAGGCAACAGGTTATGCTGCTGAAACCGTTTAAGTAGGTTCTTTTAATTTTAAACTCGTTTACACTATAGAGTTTTCGTCACGAAATACAATTGTTGTATGAATGTTGTTAAAGTTGATTTTTGTTCGTCGCTATATAACAAAACACTTAATGCCTGTTCCCTCGGGAAATAGCTAGTTTTGTTTTCCCTCGAATCTTAATGTTTCCCTCGACTTCGTCTCGGGAAACATTGAGATTCTCGGGAAAACAAAACTAACTATTTCCCTCGGGAGCAGACATTAAGTGTATAATGTTCTTTGCTTTTTCCAAGATGACGTAAAACCTACTAGATAAACCAGCTGCCATATTTGAATGTTGCAAAGCCAACACCGACGAATTATGGACTAACAGTTGTTGTTGTTGTTGTTGTTGTTGTTGTTGTTGTTGTTGTTGTTGTTGTTGTTGTTGTTGTTGTTGTTGTTGTTGTTGTTGTTGTTGGAACAGAACACGTAAAACTGACACTTCTTTTACTCGTGCTGGTCGATGAAAGCGGACTGTTACCGTTACTTTCAGGACTGCCAAACCTCTTGAAGAGCCGTGCAAGAGTTCTGAAAATAACTAGGGTGTTCATTGGCTTGAATAGCCTCTGAAAGACGACAAAGAACAGAAGCACACTGACCCACGTCAGTGGCCATGTTGGATTGTTTTCCCGCCGTGACTACTAAGACCAGAATTCCCCGTGCGCATAACGCCTGGTGACGTCATTACGCGCGTATAAGGTCTATTAACGATTTGTTATTTGATTTTATCTCTGTTGAAATAAAGTTATGATTATGACTTTCTTACAGGACAGTATATTTATAACTCTGTAAATAAATGGAGAATCCATAAGGCTATGAAGATACATTACCCAGAGCTGTTTGACGACGAAAAGGTAAGTTATACTCATGCAAAGTGTAGTAGTCATTGTAAAACACAATAATAATTCACGAAGGAAGTTCAAAATAGATCAATGTTTAATGAGATGTTGTTTTCACATGTACAAAATTTTCCTCATTTGTATCAGCTTTTCCCTCTTTATACGTCACCGCCATTTGCAGCTAGCGTGCAGCGTACAACAATTGACCACTTGCGTAATAGACTGAATTTTTTATCTAGACAAAAATTTCATCACAGCTTGAAAGAGCATCACAAAATTAGTAATATTCCAAAGTTTCGTTGCGAAATGTTGTAAAATGCGGATAATATAGCCTTGCGAAGTTTGCAATTTTCAGTCATTTTAGATTACAAACGGGAAATTGACAGCCCAATACCCTTTGGGGCAGTCAATTTCCCGTTTGTAATCTAAAATGACTGAAAATTGCAAACTTCGCAAGGCTATATTATCCGCATTTTACAACATTTCGCAAAGAAACTTTGGAATATTACTAATTTTGTGATGCTCTTGGACCTTTCCCCTTTGATCTAGACAAAAATTTCATCAGAACTTGAAAGAGCGTCACAAAATTAATAATATTCCGAAATTTCGTTGCGAAATGTTATAAAATGCGGATAATATAACGAAATTCCCTGCGAAATTTGCGATTTTCAGTCATTTTGTATTACAAACGGGAAATTGATGCCCCAACACCCGATTGGGCTGTCAATTTCTCATGCGTAATACAAAATGACTGAAAAACAGCAAATTTCGCAAGGCTATATTATCCGCATTTTACAACATTTCTCCACGAAACTTTGGAATATTACTAATTTTATGATGCTCTTTCAAGCTGTGATGAAATTTTTGTCTAGATCAAAATTTTAGTTATAAGGGGAAAGGTCCACTTTCATGTTTTTATTGGCCGAACTTTTCATGCTGCTATGGGCGGAGCCAACATTACCATGGGCCAGTTGTATAAACCTCTTAACTACTTTTTAACTGTCCATTTTGTAGTCAAATACGGTAGTGATTAAGTTTAACCACGTTGTCAAGTCGGTTGTATAAAAATGTAGAAAGCGTTAACTGCAGTTAAAAAGTAATTAAAGTTAACCATGCTTTAGATATCGTTAACTTCTCAAAACGTATTTTTCAGTAAAACGATGAAAAGCAACGCTTATATACCTGGGATTTTCATCGCTATTTTCCTGTGAATATTTTCTGAAAATATAAACTAATAAAGTCTTAAAACGCTATCGCTTTGGTTTCTTAGCGAAAACAGAACATATTTTTGCACAGGAAGATTTCACGAAGACGACATAGCCCATTACACGAAGAAACATGTTATATAATTGCCAAACAGCTACACTTTGGTTTAACGTAAACATCTCAAGGAAAAACTGCCTTCTTTGATTTTTCCTTATTTTCTTGTTTATTTTTCACTGTTTTGAATAAAATTCCACTTGCATAATACGAGTCCACAATATATTAAAAAAGCTTGTCGGCGGTCGTTTATCACTCCTTTATGTAATTCTGATTTTAAACGCCCCACGCATAGTTAACTACGAGATTGGTTAACTATCCGACTACTACGTTTTGTGCAAAGCAGTTAAGTCAACTATTTAACTATCTATAGTTAAGGATTTAACTACGGTAGTTAATACTAACTGCAGTTAACTTTAACTACGTTTTTATACAACCGGCCCCAGGGCGTTTTTATTACCATTTGCGAGCTTTCGTGAGGCGTGCAATCGGTTAACCTGAAATTCAGGCCCTAATAGCAATCAGTAGACCGCGACACCCCCACTTTTTTGGCATCCCGCGCGTTCTGTTTCAAAGTCATCACGTGATATCTCGTACGTACCACATGACCAGCTAGATGTTCAACCGCTCTTCGGGCTTGTCGTTGAAAAAGTGCATGCCACTATATTACAAGATCGAGATCACATTTTCGGTAAAAGGGAGATCATAAATATTTATGAAGTCAACGTTTGAATAAATTGACAGTTGAGTAACGAATTTCTGGCGTTAAATTCTAAACCACGCACCTGATTGGACAATAATTAATTTACCTGCCAGATTGTCAAACTGAAACTTGCAGTTTTTCACGCCCTGGCTGCAACAACTTGTGATCACGAGGTCCGGAAATATTTAATCACGAGGTACGTTTGAATACATCACCTGGTGTCTCTTACGTTGGCGTGCGGTCAGGTACATGTCGCGGTCTACTGATAAAACTATGTCAAAACTTTTTGTTTTATCAAAATAACATTTGTAGGCGTGGCATCAAACGAATTGTTTTGCATGCGGAATTTTTAACTTATTAAAAATGTTTCACAAATATGCGGGTAGGGCAGTAATAAAGTAGTAAAGTAGTAGAGCTACTTTTAAAATACAGAATGCTGGGTTTGGTGGATAATGCAAGTGAGCATATACTTATACATGCAGAGCGCTGCATCGGAATCACAGGGGCGCAGGTTCGATTCCTGCCAGATGACCTAGTGTTGCAGTTTTTGCAACCATTCCTTGTTATACGCTCACTTGAATTATCCATCAAACCAAGCATTCTAGTTCAACCAACTGAAGTGCAAAACACTTCTTTCAAGTTCACTATAAAATACACGTGTACGTTTGTGGTCGAAACTAGTAGTTTCGCATGGAAAATAGGTTCGTGTCGTACCACACCAACAAATGTTTTATGAGCAAAACAAAAGGTCTTGAATAAGGAAACGTTTTGAAATCTAGTTTCAAATGTACGATTCACGGACGCTCGCAAATGGTAATAGAGAGTTTACGATTCACGACGCGGCTAGAGAAGACGCGTTAGAAAGGCGTGGTAACTAGCGTGGCCAACGCGTCCTGTGTAATTCCACGCCGATTCTACGACGGAGTTTTGTCAATTTCACGTTGTGATCACTACTCTGCGAATTTCAAGTGAGTATCGAATACTTTTACATTGAAAATGTGAATTTAATTTCTTAAATTTTTTTGTTGATGAAGTAGTACCTTTGATTACATTTCCTTTGATTACATTTCCTTTGGTGTTTAAACAGAAATTACGAAGATTTTGAAGAACCTATAAAGAAGACTAGTTACCGCGCTAGTTACCAAGCCTTTGGTAACTAGCGTTTGGTAACACAGCTGCTCATGCTGTACATATTACATCATCAATGCGCGAGGTTGTTCTTCTCACCATAAAATCCTACCTTGATGCTCACGTAATAGGGATATTCAAGGTTTCCGACGCCATCTTCAATCTATTGTTTTTACCATTGTGTTTGCACCTCCTGCAAATTTACCGATAGGGAATTCCATTGTGTTTGCACCCCTTACGCTACTGTGTTTCGTTATGGCGTCGCAAACCTTGAATCCTCCTATTCTCTAACCAACATTCCTCAAAATCTTTAGCCATTTTTCTTATACGGTAGTTTATTGTCTTAGCTGCATGATTATTAATTGATGAAGAAATGTTAAAACGTATCCCATATTTTAAAATAATTCATTCATCCGCCTATACTTTCTCACCACAGCCCCTTCTGAAAACCCTAAGCTCTGATCTTGTAATGAACAATTGCAATAATTTGACTCCATCTACCGTTTGTTAAATCATGGATAATAAAATAAATGGATAGGAAACTAGCTGACGTGACCTAATGTTTTCAATGGGCTGATAGCGTGGTTGGATGTTGAAACCTATAGTTGCAAACCAAATTCTCAAAAACGGCATGTTTAGCAATAATACAGCTAATTAAAACATTTTAGTCAAAGAGCAAATAAATATAACTACGCCATTCTACGATGAAATCTCTAAGTATTCCCAGTCAATTTTAGCAAATATTTCAAGCACTAAACAGGGAAAAATGCATCTCAAATTTCGTTAAAATTGGCGACGCCAATTTCGTAGCTACAAATGTAAAAAAATACAAAACAAAGACGAAAAACATTATCTTGAATACTTTGTCGTGGCTTAGGCATGTTTTTAAAACAATTAGACCAGTTTACTGCTTCAATATTACTCTTTTAAAGCGGAAAATATAGCGAAACAACAAAAATGCCGAGAACTTTGGTATGTTTGCAATACGCGTGACGTCACAGATTGCAACTAGGTTTAGACTGTGACGTCAGGAAGTTTCCTATCCAGTTATTTTACAATCCATGGTTAAATTAAGATCTCTTATAGGATTGCTTGAAACTCACCTATAGCCTACCTTAATGTAATTAACGGCTTTCCTGAAATTACCTTGTATACTAATGAATTAGTATATATGAAAAACAATTATTCAGTGATGAGGCTGAGCATGATATCAAGAATTATTCAGACCGAGGTCAATGTTATCTACCGAAGCGAACCTGAGACGGATAACATTGACCGAGCTCTGAATAATTCTTGATGTCATGCAAAAGCCGAATCCAATAATTGTTTTATTATACATTTAAAGACATCAGAAACGTATAAAACGATCAAACGAAGTTTATTAATGTTTCAAGTATATTACAACAATGCTGCAATAAAGTAGAAAATGAACATTTCTTTTAGAAGATAGTTTTGCATCCTTTTGTGACTTTCTTAGTACTGTCACTGTCTTTATCTGCTAATCATTTTGACAGGTCGTTTTCATCCCACGAAGCAAATCTACTGTGAGCCATTTTGTTTATTTTATTTTCGCGTGGTTTGAGTCGTTGGCCGCGCCGAGGCTTGGGCACGACAGCGTCCAATAATGGATGCAAGTTCGATCCAAAAAAAACTATTATTGGACGCTGAGCACGTCAGGAGCTGAAATTACGTAATAAGTACCGAACATTGAGAATTATCCGGTGCTCTCTGACCAATCAGGAACGAGAATATACATACTAGATGTATAACAAATATATATATATAATCTTAATATTCAATCTCGTCTTCAAGCAATCTCGGTGTGAATAATTTTTTATATTTTGCTCAGCTTCATCCTAATATTGTTTTATGTTTTACTGTATAAGAGATGTTTTGTATTTATAAAGGAGGTGACATGGGAAGAATGGCTGGATAACTTAGTTTCTCGCAAGCGAAAACTCGGACAACTGGATGATAAAATTGCACAATTAGAAATTGAATTTGAAGTATTAGAAAAGGAGGAGCGAGAGTTACTAAAGCAACAACAGTCATGATATCGTCAAGGAAGCAGCTTGCTGAGAGAAAAATCCGAGTGTACGTTTGAAATCACATTTGGAAAGTTAGCAGGGACGACGCTACTCAGAATTTACTTTCGTTCAATCCACTTAATAGACCTTTCCCCTTTTGAGTGAAATTTTGATCTAGACAAGTCTGGACAAAATTTCATCACAGCTTGAAAGAGCATCACAAAAGTAGTAATATTCCAAAGTTTCGTTGCGAAATGTTGTAAAATGCGGATAATATAGCCTTGCAAAGTTTGCCGTTTTCCAGTCATTTTGCATTACAAACGGGAAAATGATAATCAGTTTGATCATCTGATTGTCAATTTCCATTTGTAATGCAAAATACTGAAAAACGGCAAACTTCGCAAGGCTGTATTATCCGCATTTTACAACATTTCGCAACGAAACTTCGGAATCTTTCAAGCTGTGATGATCAAAATTTCACTCATAAGGCGAAAAGTCTATTCCCTTATCGTCTTCCAATCTAAGGGAACTGTTACACGACGTGTAATTTCTTTGTGAAACTGCAACGCAAAGCCAAACCAATAAAAGATTTAAGACAGCGTTAAACATGTGGTTCCTTTTCATTAATTCAATTATATACCTTTTTTCGGTTTTCCGGTTTTAGTGGAAAAGCGATACCAGATATGTTATTAACCGCCTCACCAAAATGGGCATTCCTTATTTTGCCAACAGTTACCCGATTTCTGATGTTTTTCGAAATCTTTCCTGGGCTACTTTAAACCTAGTCTGCGAACCCATGCACACGTCATTTCCCACGCAAAGTAACTTTCCGAGCAAAGAATGAGCGTGGGAAATGACGTCTGGGTTCGCAGACTACTTTAAACCGATTTTAGAGTTATAAAGTACAGAATAGCAGACAGTGAGAAAACATGGCTAGGCAGTATATTTAATATATTGATCTCACGGATGTACATTGTATATAACATATTTATGTAAATTAATGACAAAAATGTATTACTTTGGAAATTATATGACTTAGATAACATTATTTCCAGAAATCAATAAACGCGATAAATTTATGGGATGTTCAGATGGGTATAGAGTGAAAGACATTTTATAGTCTAGTTTCGCCATGTCGAAATTTTCACAAGTCATCAATTTCTCTTGATTCTCCGACTCTTTGGCGCCATTTTTAATACTTAATTGTTATTGTCGACCCTTGGACGAACAAATTCCGAACGTTAATTAAAAAGTCGTTTGAATATTTGATTATATATGGAAGAGCCTTGTAGCTGAGAAGTTAACTAGGAGTTAATATCGCAAGGAAAGTCCACTGATAAATCGAGAAAAACCTAGGCACATGCACAGCGCCGATTCCACCATGAAGAAATATCATACATATCCTGTACGACCAGTCCTATCGTATACGTGCGCCTTTAATAGTTTCTATTCGGTCGTGGTATCCGACATCTGATCTCCCTGGACTAAATTGTTTTTCTTTTACGAGCACACATGAAAATGTAATTGTTTATCTTTCGAAAGATTCATCAAGGCCACGAGTCTTTTAAGCGCTTGTTGCAGAATAAGGTAGTACTTCGATCAATTGTCATTCTGGCGTATGAAAATGATTGCAGACGCACAATTCCAATGCAAAAGTTTATGGCGAAATTTGAAAAATTATTTGTTCGAGTTCTTATTTCACGATAAGAATTGTACGTGGCCAATCGTATCGTGCAAACGTGCCTAAATAACACGCGGACGCCGTACAATTTTCGTTTATTTCGTTTATGCCAATCGACAACTTGCATGTTAGAACTAATTTTTGATCTAGGCAAAAAAAAAAAAGGAAATCCCGTGTAAAGAACTTACTAAAATTAGTAAAATTGCGAAATTTGGTTACGAAATGTTGTAAAATACGGAAAATATAGCCTTGCGAAGTTTGCAAATTTTGTATATGTTTGTATTACGTACGGAAATTGTTACCATTTTTGAGCCGAAAATGGTAACAATTTCCGCACGTCATACAAACATATACAAAATTTGCAAACTTTGCAAAGCTATATTTTCCAAGCATTACAACATTTCGCAACCAAATTTTACTAATTTCACTATGTTCTTTTTAGCTTTTGTGTTCGATTCGCCTCTTTACTTAAATAAAAATTTAGTCTAACATGCAAGTTGTCCATTGAGTGGACACCTGTACCAATTGCGCAACGGCATCCAGACAACTTGCCGGTCGTCCAAACTGCTGCAAGCAGATCGAGATTCGCAACTGTACATAGATTGTGCAAGAGACTGGGCACGAGTGATCTGTGGACGGAAACGCAAGCAGTGTCAAGAATAGTGCCTGCAACAACGTGTAGTTGCAAACGTTTATTACAGGAACTACTGAGCACTTCTATGCAACACAAAAATTATTGTGACGAAAATACCTTCGGTTACTCGACAATAATTGGAATTAAATATTCAAAAATGGCAAGAGGAGTCAAATTAAAAATAGTGGCGTGTTTATTGGTGAAGTGATAGTCTATCAAGGTATGGTGGGTCTGGGAACTAAACATAAGTCACTGTTTGATGTTTTTGTTTGGAGTTTATGTTAATTTGTGCAGGGTCACGGTGATTGAACTCATTGTATTTTCGTATAATGAAGTAACCGTCCAATAGGGATAGCTGAGATGAAACGTGCAACCAGAATAAATAGTATTTAATGCAGTTGAGACAAAGAATTTGTGCACGGCGAGGCACAGTTCAACATCAAACAAAGGTCTTCTATTATGTGACTATGAAGTTTGCTGCGCTTCCAGACCATCATATCTTGACAAACTATGGTGACGTCTAGTGATAATAAGGAACATGCTTTGTAAAGGCTCGCATTGCCATTAGGTTTGATTCGTGAAACAGATGGTAGTAAAGTGCTTGTAAATATTGTTATTGCCATGGGTCAGCGTTCCCATGGTGATCTTACTGCTGAATACGCACGTGTTCCAGAGTGAGGTCGTTCTTCAGCTCTGGGTGATTTATCATTTGCTAAAACATCGCCATCATTTGCAGGTATAGCTAGTAAGAAAAAACAGAAGATTTGTTCAAACGATCCGAATTTTAAAATTCCAAGTTTGTTCTAATCATAGTCAATCAAGGTTGTGACTTGCATGTGCGTGCTGGAGACAAATGAATTTTGGGCATACATAGCAATCATCCAATGGCAAGACGTATGTACAGTGAAGTCGTCTTAAAGTGCACCTAACCTCAATTCTTCTAACATCTCGTTCCTAAGAAACTTTTGAAATGATATTGTAACGTATTTTGAAGATTTTCGTTTGTACACTTTGTCTCGAAGTTATTTCAGTTTTATTGATATGCAAATGTCCGGAATTTACGTCACATATGAATAATGACTGATCAAAGAATGTAAGGTACAGTTAAATATCATGAAATAAAAAGGCTAAATGGTGTTTTACATAGGTGTGTAATCCTCTCACACTTAATTTTAATGAATTAAACTCGATAGTGAATACGATATACAAGCTTTTACTTTCAATCATGCATTTGTGACATAAATTCCGGATATTCGCATACCAAACTGAAATATCTGAGAAACAAAGTGAGCAAACGAAAATCTTCAAAATAAGTTATTATATCATTTCAGACGTTCTTATTAAGAATGAGATGATGAATTGAGGTTAGGTGCACTTTAACAAGAAACGGCAGCACATTAGAGGCAAATGTCGACGGACAAGTGTCCCGCATAAAAAAATAACATACCCAGTTCTTTGTCACCGTATGTTTTCGTACGCACTTGTGTAACTTTGTATGTGTAAACAAAAATGGTTATTCTTTGTCACATAGTAGATTTTGAGCGCGGTTTTGAGCCAGAAATACATCAACATTAATTGTTAATACAGTAAATGATTTTACTTTGCATAGTTTGTAATTTCCAGAAATGAGAGAGTTCGTACAAATCTGGGGGAACTGTAGTGTAATTCTCGTGGATTGTCTATAGATTGGCGCATCGAGAAACTAGAAATCAAACTTTTGTTATGTTGGCTTATAGACCCATATCTAGGAAACATCATTTGCATGCATCAAACTGTGAAAATGGTCCACTGAAATTCACAATATACCTCCACCTTTGGAACGTTACAAATAGTAACTGTGGGCTTTTTAGATCCACCCTTGTTATAACAAATACCTACCTTAGAACGTTCACTATCCTGAAAATACCATTGCGCACCGAAATAATTATATTAGCTAGTGAATTTTTTATAATTTTACATTTAGACCCTTTTTTTAGTTAAATTCCGGATATTAAAACACTTTTTGTGCGAAGAATACATTTTTACGGAAATGATTTAGCCGCAGCTATAGAACCTAGTTCCCCTGCATGACTGAGACAGGCTATACTGATGAAATAATCATAAACAGGACAGGTATTTTATTTTGACTTACTTATCTGTATTATTTCGTAAATGTGTCGGGCACTTTCCGGAAGGGTGCACTCAATAATTTTAGTGCATTTCTGGTTCAAAACCGTTATCTTGAATCTAGACTAAAAACTCTCTAAATCAAATGAGAATGCAATCTAAATGCATGCAGTCTACGAATTAGAAAATGAGCACACTTTGTATATCAATTGGCATATGACCATAGTTAATAGAAAAGATGGTTTGGAAACTCATTAGAATAACAGTATAACTCATCTATGTTATATTTGTGGTGTTACTCTGAGAGTATATCCACACCGGGCGAGCTTGAAAAATATGCCCGGCCACGGTGGGATTCGAACCTACGACCTTTGGAACACCAGCCCAATGCTCCTCCAACTGAGCTACGCGGTCAGGACGGTAGCTCAGTTGGAGGAGCATTGGGCTGGTGTTCCAAAGGTCGTAGGTTCGAATCCCACCGTGGCCGGGCATATTTTTCAAGCTCGCCCGGTGTGGATATACACTCAGAGTAACACCACAAATATCATATTCACCTGAGTACACTACACCAACACAGAAAAAAAAATTCATCTATGTTAGTCAACGTTTATTCATAAATCTAGTCCATCACCGTCACGTGCGTAGTGTATAATTTTTGCCCAACTAACCATGCAATAGCAATGCTTTAGGAAAGTTGCCTATCCGTGACTCGAACAATAGGGTAAATTGGAAATTGCTATTGGTGGATTTGGCAAAAATACAACACACACGTGACGGTGAAGGAACATATTTATGAATGTTTAAACGTTGATTAACATAGATAATGAGTTATATCGTTATTTTAATGAGCTTCCAAGCCATCTATTCTATTAACTATGATAGGACCCATGTGCAATCATATGGAAACATATAACTTGAAATTGGCCAAATCGGGGAGTTCAGCTACTGCTTGCAGACCTCGTGATCAACAAAGCAGTTCAAGTATTTCAAGTAACTTTGAGTTGGCCTCAAATCTTGATGAGAGTTAAACCTGGTTTTCCTTTTCGTCCAACCCCTGTATGTGTCAAAGTTGAACTTGCACCCTATTGGATGGTATACACTCCATCTATAAGGCGAACATGCATGGATTCACCCCTACATATGCTTACAAAGAAGCTAGTATTCCAAAGGTCGTAGGTTCGAATCCCACCGTGGCCAGGCATATTTTTCAAGCTCGCCCGGTGTGGATATACACTCAGAGTAACATCACAAATATCATGTATATACCGTTGTTTTCGTCGCCATCACGTTTCTCACGATCAAATGACTGGGTTCGTACCGAGAAAGCAGAGTCTGCCCGGGAAGTTGATGTCTAGAAGAAAACCAACATGCTTATAGTGAATAAAGTTGTTAGTGTTAAATAGTAGCATAGGAATGGGTGTTTACCTAATTATTGGCAGTGAAAACCTTCGAAGTTGCATTACATTATCAACATTCTCTAGCTATGACACTAATGCCGATTCACTCTTTGAAAAGCTCAATTGGAAAACACTTTCCTTTCAGCGTAAAGTTCAAAAGGCTGTAATGGTCTATAAATCTCTTAATGATTAGCTCCCGACTATATGCACTCCATGTTTACTGATCGTGAAAGTGTAACTTCAATCCAATTGCGTGACACTGAGAATAAATTAGCTGTTCCTATGCCTCGCACAAACTATTTGAAAAACAGCTTTAGTTATAGTGGTGCTGTGCTGTGGAACAGTCTTCCAATCGGGTTACGGCAAGCACAGTCCCTTGACAATTTTCGAGCGGGCTGTAGAAGTCTTTTATAAATTTTAATGGCTATTTTTAATACACGGCCCTCATGGAAAGCAGGTATAGAGATAACTTTGTAATCATTGTAGTTTTTGTAATATAGTTTAGTCAATAGCCCTATTCACATTAGGGACGGACAAGTCGTCTAGACGAACAAATCGTCTCTCAAAAATCGTCTTCACAGACGGACAAGTAGTCGAACAAATTCAGACGACTTGTTCGTGTAAAATTTTGTCCGACACGTTTTCACATCTGATGATTTGTTCGACTAAAAGACGATTTTGAGACGATTTGTTCGTCTAGACGACTTGTCCGTCTTCTAATGTGAAAACGGCTAATGTAGCCCATATAATGTAAATCCTGATGATTAATACCGTGCCTAAATAAAGTTTTAATAATAATAATAATAATAACAGTGTGCATGCTGCACCAATAGCGGGGGTGTAGTGGAAAGGGAGCACAGGGGGCTTATAACCCGCTCGTTAAAATTTCTTTGCAGTTTGAGGGAAGAGACTGAGCCCTCCTCCCCCCACACGACGTTTATGAAGACCGAAATAATCTTTGATGATATAGAATTTTTAGCCATGATATTTCTAGAATTAAAATACACCTGTTCCAATTTATCTTTAATCAATCTTTGAAGTGACGACCAGTGGTGCTAATTTCCCTTATATTCAGGATGACGGACTCCTGAGTAGCGTAATGATTGTAATTGGGTTTGTATAATATAAAACGCAAAGTTCCGGCATTACTGTTTGGAAAATTATGATCGTTGTATCTACAAAGAATATTCATGGAAATACCTGTCTGATTATACGATTCCTGGCCAGCATTTGTTTAGACGTACGAGTACATCCTTGGGCTAGAAAAAGAAAAAGGTGATTTTATAAATGTTGAAGAGTTTTGAAATTTCAAGCCAAAATTATTTACAAATTTTAGACCTGACTGGGAGTCATACCTGTGTGTATGGGCCTTCGATAGGGCAGACCCAATCTAACACGCGGCTCTGCGATGCCATGTCACTGCAATGCCCTGGGCTATCAGACTCCGGTTGCCAAGAGCTAACCGCAAGTTTCTGTCCACTAAGGTGATGCCAATGTATGGTATATTGCTAAATGGTCACGATTTTTGGGTATCTCGCTCGACAGAAAATAACTTTAAAGGCCTTTTATTGAAGGACGTTTTACATATAGCTGCCCCTCATCAACGAAAGTCTATAGGTCAATATTCTGTTCTACCCTGTATTAAGCGAGATGCCTTAAATCTTGTTTTATATATGTGCCATCTATATTTAAGCATGACTTCGTAGTTAACTATGTGTCTAGTGTAACCTAGTATCATTCCTGATGATGACTGAATCTTCACTGAATCTTAGTCGAAAGCTAGAACGACTAAAATGTTTATTTTCGGAGTTACCGTTGTTTTATATTTTATAGACTTGGTTCAAGTCCGTCTCTCAAGGGGTTGAAAATAGCGATGCATGCGAGCGGTCAAAAAAGGCGCGAAAATATGAGAGAAAAGTAGGGAGAGACGGACTTGGATACCCTGCAACCGTCGGGTTTTTCCTACGGAAGCGTGGCTTGCCAGTTGAGAACAACAACAAATTTTCGCGCTAATTTTTGCAAGTAACATTCGAAATGCTGCAAATGTCGCAAGTCCGTCTCTCCCTACTTTTATCCTGAGATGGACTTGAACCAAGTCTATGTATTTTATTAAAATACTCAGTGGTTCCGGTAATTTTTGTAGCCTTTCAGTACTCGTAAGTGTGGTTTCAAATAATGTTTCGTGGAGTCATACTGAAAACACTTTTCTCACATGCGCGCGGCGACATTCTATAATCATGCTCAAATCAAACCACGGTCGCGAAGATGAAAATCAAACGCATTAATCAATTAATATCATACTGTACATAAAAGTATTACTCGAGTGTGATTGGTTGATTTCAGTGCAGTTAATCCAGTGCAAAAATCTGTAATCACATTGGAATTTTCTGTAATCATGCACAGTGCAATTTTCTGTAATCAATATGAACCAATCAAAATGAGCTATGTACGTTTTGGCGGGGAAAATTTAAAAATATTCTTTTTTTCAAAACAAAGATGGCCGCACTTAGCCAAGCGGAAAGATTCCCACACTTGGCGAAGTTCGAATTTGATTGTCTCGAATACTTTTATGAAAATTATTAATAAGTAATAGCATGGTTTCTCGTGAAATTTGGATAAACATGCAATCGTGAGTTTTTTGCTTGTGCTATTTTGAGGTCTTTGAAAATAATGAAAAACTCACTCGTGCATGCTATATCTAAATTGTACTCGAAACCATGCTATTACCTATACATACCACCGACCTCTCTTTCTAGAAAAACCAGCATGCGTTGCGATTAATGCTGTTACTATTTGAGAAAATGTCAGTACCTGCAAAGTGTGCCCATACTTTATCTGACGCTGAACCAAAGTCGACAGGGGACCTGAACGATAATGTAAAGCGAACATCAAAGGTTGTTGTCCAGGCAAAGGCAAGCACACATGTACAATGCAAACAGACAATCTCGTCCCCAGGCTAACTATACTCTACCCATTTTGCTTGCTTAAAATGAAAGAGGATGCGAACCAGATTGCTAAAAAAAACTCCTTATAGGGCTGAGGCAGCTAGGTATTAGCCAGTCTGTCAACCAACTCTCTTGCAGACTGTGAAAAGACTGCTTTTGGACAGCTGATTATCATATTGACACCTCCAGAACGGCTTCTAAAAATCTGTAGATTTTACACTGTACTTAATGGCTTCAATTGGCAAAATAGGTTATACCTGACAGTGTCTTCTTCCATTGTCTAAGAATTTTTGCTATCAATGATAGTCAAATTTGGAGGCAATCCAGTAGAGTATAGCTTAATTTGACACTCTAACACCGGATTCTATTTTCTTAATATGCCATCGGAAATATACAATATATATTCTACACCTAACGGTAACCATGCAGAGAGTGTACAGTATGTGTCCTTACAACGAGTTCCACAGTTAAGTTGTACGCCACATTCCAAATTTAGAGTAGACGCCCAACCATCAGACAGTGGCTAAGAATCAGGACTCAGGCGAAATTCTAATTAGGAAAGTGCATACTTCAGGATCAAGTCACGGTTGCAGAGGTGACTACATATTCCACAATCAATAGATACAGTCAACACGCTGTCAGCGATGTGAGCAATGCAACCGAATTGAGAAAGTTGATAACTCAGAATGTGTGAAACAAAATTTAAACCTTCAAGCCCTACAGGAGCCATAGGCAGCAAAAGACATACCTCCCTTCAGAATCTTTCATGCTGGGATCTGCTCCGTGTGCCAACAGGTACATAATTATCTGCCAAATGATAATTTTACTTTTTAGGCACCATTTATTATCTTATATTAAGAAAATATTGCGGAAAATGTGGAAATTACAAAATAAATCATATATACCATAATTTTAATTAGTTATTACCATAGATATCTTAAGATACACTATAGATAGCGCATCTCTTTTAGTAAAATTGAAGCCAAGAATATTCCAGCGGTTACCCCCATTTGAATAGATGGCGGCCATGTTGGTTGTTTCCACTTCCCACTTAGTAAAAAACGCTTAAAAACAACAATAACTTTCATCATTCGAATAGTTTAAAAATGTATTTGGAATAGGGTTAACTTAATGTTTAAGTTCCCTGTTTAAAAAATAGAAAACATACGAATCTTCTCATTTCATGGGAACGACCTGAGACTGCAATCATGGCTTCAATTTTTGAATTGCAGAAGAATTAGATGCACTATTTAGTGTATATAAGATATCTATGGTTATTACCAATGACCGAAAGTGGATGCATGAGAATATTAAAAAGGGAACATATAAATGATATACAAAATATTTACGGAAAATCATCAATGAAACAAGTATAAGGTGCATGAATACGATGCATGAGAATCAAAAGTACTATCAATATCCAGCATGTTTATGTAAGGCAAAGGCACATAGGGCTAAACATAGGGAAAACGCGTTCATTGATACCATAGGAGTGGACGGTGTAAAGTCTGGAAATGAGACACACTTCATGCCTTTCTGCCTATCATTTCTGCCATGGAGAAATGGGACAGAGAGCTCAAATTTAATATTTTCATATCTGAAACACCTTGACCGCCTATTATAATAAATGTCTGGCAACAGGTTGCACGGTTAGCATCATTGCCTAATGACAGCACGTGAGCAGACATTATATAATAACTACAGTGAAACACGCAATTTGATTGGTCAACAGCCGTGCAGAATCAGACAATCCTGCACGGGAAATTCTGAACAGAAATTCTTGCACATAATTTTACAAGTTTGAAAGTTGGTTTAGTTGTATGAATAAATTTCTGATCGAGACATTGCTATCCAGCAAGTAGCAAAGTGTAGCGTTGAAATTCATCAGACCATGACAAGTACAAGTGTACAACATCTCTCGCTTCAAAGTTGATCAAACGCTTCGCAATCAGGTCGAGAATCATCAAAACTACTTTGGCTCTCTGTTTAGCGGGTTTTCCATTTCAAATTTCGTATATTTTATCGAAAAAGTCCCTGTATTTTCGCTGTATATTTTCGCGAATTTGCGATCAAATTCTGTTCACATTTGTTCTTGTTTTCAATAGCGTGGAGTAGCGATTCTCCGATTGGTTAATTCACGATTGTCGTGAGAACTGCACATTTCATCAGTAATTCTAATAAAGTTAACCGTCGTTTCACTGTAGTAATTTTATAAAACAATTACCAAACGGCTTTCCCGTGCAGGATAGCATGATCCATGCAATTGGGATGTTGCTCGACTTTCGGAAAGCATAAAAATACACTCGCCTACGGCTCGTGTATTTTCACGCTTTCCGAAAGTCTCGCAACTTCCCGCGTGCATGGATCACGCAATCCTGCACGGAAAATCATTCGGTATTCCTTTATTAAGAGTATATTACTGTGGAAGATATAGCGGCTCAACTAAGGTGACGTGAGCAAATTCAAAATTTCATGATTTCACTAAAACATACCTTGCCATGTTCTTGGAAAGTTGCTGCATGCAAAGGCGTCCACAGACTCCCGGCGTTTTGTGTGTTTACATCAGCTCCACCGTCCACTAACGTCCTTACAACATCGTAAAATCCCCAGAATGCAGCTATAAAACATGAATTGAACAATATAAGCTCATGCGACTCACATGCAGGCTTAAACGGTTAGGGTTTGAAAAGTGTGGTATTCGGGTAATTGGTGAAAGCTGCGTGTGCATGGAAGGCCAATTACTCTACCATGCATGGGAGGCCTTACATTTTACGGTATACAGCATACAGCTTCAAAAAAGTTGTACTCTAAACCTTAAACTCTAAGCGTGCAAAGCATAATGGGAGCATCATTTAATCATTTTAGAAATCATACATGATATCTCCTTACAAGAACAATTCATTCCCAAATATACTGTAGCTGCAATATTCAACTACTAAGCTTGAAACTTGTGCTCCCATTAAGCTGTGCGCGCTTAAAGTTTAAGGTTTATAGAGTTAAAGGTTTGCAAAGGACAACCTTTTCTGAATTAGTTGTATTGCCTGCGTGTTTAACCATAGCCTATCGAAGGGAAGACGTCTGTGAAACTAATTAGAATAACAATATAACTCATTATCTATGTTAGTCAACGTTTATTCATAACTCTGGTCCTTCACCGTCACGTGTGTATTGTGATTTTTGTCAAACCCACCTATAGCAATTTCCAAATTCCCTATTGTTCCAGTCATGGATAGGTAGCTTTCCTAAAACATTGCTATTGGTTAGTTGGGAAAATTCGGAAAAAAATACAATACAAACACGTGACGGTGAAGGACCAGATTTATGAATAAACGCTGACTAACATAGATAATAATATATATAAAAATATTACTCGACTGTGATTGGTTGATTTCAGTGCAGTTAATCCCAAAGAGCAGTGTCATTTTCTGTAATCACAGTGCAATTTTCTGTAATCACAGTGCAAAAATCTGTAACAAACTGATCTGATTTGTGGAAAAACAATGTGATGATAGAATCAATCAAGCAGTTTAAAGCAGTTTAAAGATTTCACAGATTGCTCCAAAACAAAACAAACACGGCGCCGCGCTACATAAAGTAAAAGTTGACTTCGGTTGGAAAATATGGCTTTTATCTTTTTTTTTTTAAATGGAAAAGCCTTTGCCTTAAACAAGGCAAACAGAACTTACATATAGTTGAGTGGAGTTTTCAAGCTGTTAGCGTTGTATAATGTGATTTAGTATAATTACATAGGTGATTATTGAATATTCTCCACGCTGATTGGTTGCCGTTGAGGTGATTTTTACGCGATAATCACCTAAGCGATTTTCAAAATGGCGGCCGAAGCCGTTTTGTCAATTAAATGACGAAGAAATGTCTATTTTTTTATTTTTTTTGTAAATAATCACCTATGAAATTATACTAAAACAATTATTCACCTCAGGCTCGGTGATTATCGTGAATAAAAACCTCGACTTCGTCTCGGTTTTTATTCACCGATAATCACCTCGCCTTCGGCGAATAATTGTTAAATAACAAAGCCAGGAAAACTTTGCCAGTGGAATGTTCGCTATACATAAACGTAAGTTAAAACTACAATTGTCTCAAACATTTTTATGTAAATTATTAATAAGTAATAGCATGGTTTCTCATGAAACTTGGTTTCTCATGCACTCGTGAGTTTTGAAAGACCTCAAATAGCACTCGTCCTCTGGACTCGTGCTATTTTAGCACTCGTCCTCTGGACTCGTGCTATTTTGAGGTCTTTGAAAAACTCACTCGTTCATGTTATATCCAAATTGCACTCGAAACCATGGTACTAACCTATACTAATGAGTTATATTGTTATTCTAATGAGTTTCACAGCCATCTTCCCTTCGATAGGCTATATGGTTAACTCGACGGAGGAGAGAGGCCATGCACGCTGGATATGCTTGCAAAACTCTCACTTGTCAACTATCATCGCCTTGGACATTAAACATTTTATATCCGCTCCGTATTACGTTCTTTCTAAACTTTTGACTCCATGCACTTTGAGCATTTATGTGCGTATAGCTGGTCGGAGCGAAAAAAAATCTTTCACTTGTTTCCACATGACCACAAATAGTTTAAGCGCACTATTAGCTATATAACAATGTTAAGCATGGTTTCCAAATGGTCAAAAAAATAGAGTCACTATCTTCTCAACAGCCAGTTTATAATAGTTTATACCTGCATGTAAACCACATATAAATCATAACTCATAAGTGCTGTATTCTCTAATTGT